TTAAATCTAGCATTGGAACAATAGGGCCCAACCAGCGTTACTTTGTCAATCTTGATTGGTACACGATGAACCGGAAACTTACTTTCTCCTGTAAGGTAAACCAGTCTTTAATCCATGACTAGTACATACTAGGTGGTATATATAAAATGTAGTAAAACAGGACTCGAATGGCACTTGTACTTTTTGAACTTAAAATGGAACCCTTAACTGCTGATGCATTATGTGTGCAATACTGTTTATCCCACAATGTTCTAGGAAATTAAATACTTTCTGTATTTCATTGATGGGCTATCTTCAGTTTTATCTTGTATGGATCTTAATTATTATTTTTATAATGATGTGCCATAGCACAGAGTGTATCCATTTGATAAATGAAAAACACATTCTCTTGAACCTAGGTTGGTGAGAACCAGTCAGCATTTGTTTAAAGTTCCTATGTTATTACAGACATGGTTTGACGAAAGCTGAAACAATTAATTTCTAATTTTATCTTTGTTCAAGCCTTACCAATACCAGTTCAAACTGCTTTGCCAAAATTTATACCAAAAGTCATGCTATAGAAAAGGGATAAATAAGAAAGAAATCAATAAAATTTAACTGGTGAGCAATTTGAAGTATTTAGTGTTTTTGGAGATTCCTTTATGCATGCTTGAGAGTTGCTACTGAAACAATCAATTTGCGATAATTGTTTGAAATGTTTAAAGATAAAAAATTTCATGTTATACATCAACATTACTTGTATAATCCTTCTCAAGACTTTTTAGAGAAATTCTTGTGAAAATTCAAAGAACCAAAGAAATGACAAACTTATAGGATAGAGCATGCCATGCATATAACGACTCCAAGTTTAGGCAGAACTTTAGAAATTATCCTCTTTTTTTTAATTTGACATATAAAATAATGTGGAGTCTATGCTGAAATTGGGAAATTGTCCAATTTCAACTCATTCCCCATTAAAAACTTAAAGCCTCTCTTTACTGTTTCAATAACTGGGTTTGCCCTGAGATGTTTGAAATAATATATGGAGAAAAGAGTTGCTGGAATGTAGAATTTGTAATTGGTTTTCCTGTTACCAACTAACTCTTTTTTTTTGTATCTATGATACAAGCTGTAATGTTCCAACTATTTGTGATCATCTACATGGAATTTTTTCCTGCCATTGAGCTTGTCTTCTTTGTATCTAATTATTGGATAATGTGGGAAAGGAAACCTTTGATGATTTGTTTAGAAAAAGAACATGTATATGAAGATATATTTAAATCCCATATTTATAGATCTAAAAATTAGCTCAAAACGTAGCAACTACAAAGAGAATAAATCCACATACCTGATATATATAATAGAATTAAAAGGCAATTCTCCTCCCTTTTCCCACATAAGAGAGTTAGAAACTAAACTTCACAACTGAACACCTACCATCTTTCATGCAAAAATCCAAAGATACAAAAACAAAACCCTAAATCATCTCATTGTAGCCCTAGAAATACCATCACTGTGGCCACCGACAGCACAACCGCCACCACCATTTGAATTTGAATGATTTAGTAAGATAATTTCATTCTATCTTTTTGCAAAATTTCACACAGAGATAGTTATAATTGAGATCCAGACGTTGATATGTAGTTCATGATGCACTGAAAGCTTCAACTTGTGCTAACAATGATATACTTTCTCTCATTGCTGCTCTACTTCTTAAATGCCATTATAGAGTGAAATGAGAATATATAAAATTGTTGAAAGTTCAGCCATGTTGTATGGATTGAAAAATTGGATAGTTAAGATGCTACATATTTAAAAAAAATTAGTGTTGCTAAGATGAGGATGATGAGATGGATCTGTGAGGTTCCTGTAAAGTCAAAATTAGCACATTTACATTTATGAACAATTAGGGGAATCGAAGTTGAGCATGAATTTAGGTGAAATTACTCGGATGTAATGGATAATGAGCATGAAGTTGTGGTAAAGGAAGAAATAAGAAAACTTTATCTTAAATGTCTTTTATTTATTGTCATGTAAAATTGCCTGTGATATACTAATTGTTACTTCTAAACTGCATCTTGTTACCATGCAGTGACATTGTGGTGAAACATCAGGATGTAAGTTTCGAAACTTGTTAAGATATGTTCATAGAGAATCATTTTTTCACACACGTCAAGTCATGAATCTCAATATATTTTATGAATATATGGAGACCCACAAGTGATGCTTTTACTAAGTGTGTTCAAGCATTACATCTTAATCCTATATAAACTGAAAAATTCAGATAGGTTCTGCATAGAGTTCATGAGATCAATCTAAATTGTACATCATCAATATAATGTTCGAAAAGCATAGAATGACTAGCTCTCACATAACCGTCAATAATGCATATAGAGCTTCAAGTGCACCAAAATATCTAAATTTTGGTCCTTTTACTATTTCTAAGATAATATAAGTAAGGTCTCAAATGTGAACCGCACTGATCGGTGCAGAAGCGGTTCACCTAGTACCAGTTTGGAAACATATAGCTAGATTTTGGTATAATACCATGCATTTCCATTTTTATTATTTTATTTAATGATATTGAAAAGTTTAAGTCAGTATATTGCCCAATACACTGTTATTGTACTGGTCCAGCAGGTCACTGATATCAGTATTGGATCTAGATATAAATCCATGAACCTAATAATCATAATTATCGCCCACACATTCTTATCTTGGCACCATAGTGTAGCTTAAAGTTGAAAACACTGAGACATTTAACAACAATTTCTGATTAGCTGCCTTGCAATTTCAAAGTTGGGAAACACCATGAAATATTCAACAATGTTTTACAGTTAGCTTTCCTTGTAAGCAAGCACCAAATTCTATGCTGGGAAAATATAGATAAGAGTTGGTGGCAGGTGGGAGGATTCACATTTTAGATTGTTAAGCTTTTGCATCATAGGAGAAAAATACAAATACATTTTAGATTGCATGAGAGTAGATCTAGAATAAGAAACTTGGCAAGCTTTGGTGTCCAGTAATTTTAGAAGTGTTCAAATTACCTACAGAACCAATTGAATGGGACACTTATGCTCCTTTAAAATATAAGACATTCAACTGAACTTGATGATCTAAAAATGTTTGAAGATGTCAATGGCTTGTAAACTGCATATTCTTGTTTTCTATTTGTGATGGGGTACATTATTTTCTGTGTCATTTAGATCTCAAGTACTTACTCATGTTGCGAGCTGAAAGCAGTTGAGAATCTCTGTACACTTTATAAACTGACTTTTTTTATCTTAAGTAGTAGTAATCACTAACCATACACCTGGATCTTGTGTTCTGAGATCAGTGTTTGTTGATTAAGCTCTTTATTTCTTTTGATAGATAGGGTTTCATCCAGATTTTGAAAACTCTCGCTGTTTGTTCATCGTACGGAAGGATGGGGAGTTGGAAGATTTCTCATATTGGAAGTGCATAAAAGGTTTTATAAGGAAGAATTATCCGCTGTACGCAGATACCTTCATTCTGAGGCATTTCCGAAAGCGCAAATATAATGAATAAAGTAAAGGAAGCTTTTCCTCTGAATGTCAATCTTAATACGTCTGATGTATTTCAAAGTTTTTTACTGTAGTGATTCGTGTATCTAATTGTCTTCACCGGCAAATATTTTAATTTTTTTCTTTTATTCTGGTTGAAATATTGCCCATTTAGTAAGTTGATAATTTGTGGCATGATAATCCTTAAACTATCATCACAAGTCTGATTAAGGCATCTGCCAGCAGTGAAATGCTTTATGTGTGTTTATGCACGTGCGCATGTGCATAAGAGTGCATGTACGTGTGGTGGGCGTGTGTGCAGGTTTGTGCGTGTGGGTGATGGGGTTGCCATCGGTTGGGATGGCTCCAAAACTCTCCATCTTTGTATGCTATTATGACGATGGCCTCAAAACACGCACGCTCGTGCACGTGCGCGTGTATGTGTATGTGCATGTGTGCGGTCGCCCGTGCACGCGTGCGTACGTTCTACATAAGATAGGGATTAGAGAGAAATGGTTAACACGATTGGCTCCAAACTCTCCTTTCTTCCAATTCATGGCGACTGCAGCGAGGAAGCTCAACGACACATTAAGCATACAGTATATCATTAGAGTAGCAGAATCGAGTTGACTGGTTGGGAGGAGGTAAACAACTGTTGACTGAATCAGTGGTACGAGTCTATCGGTCATGAAATGCATATAAGACACAAAAGAAAAGAAAAATGCCAGGCAAATTAAATTATTCAACCCCAAAATTCCAGCAAACATCATTTGGCAGCATAATTCGTTTGCAATATCTGAGTTACTGCAATTAAAAGGATGGAATATCACCCACCATATATAGATCACTCATTTGCCAAAACTAAGGAACTTGATGTGATCTAATGGAGAAGCATTAACAAGAAATTGGTACTGCTATAAGAATTTTCTTCCATGTGAATGATCTATTATTTTCATAGGTTGAAGAAAGGTTTGCAATATCACTCTCGACAATTTGATATGAATAATAATTTATCAATCCACCCAATGGTGTGTCCATAGTGTTCGACGATACAAGACCTATACCGAGTAGTTTGTTTTTATTTTTTATTATTTTTAGATTTTTAAAAATTAGTATACATGATATACTAGTACAAAGACCTATGCCGAGTAGTTTATTTTTATTTTTTTAGATTTTTAAAAATTAGTATACATGATATACTGATACTGTGCCTGTCTGAGTCGAAACCATTATACTTCCCGTAAGCGAATTTGCAAACCTAGTTTTGATGAACCAAAATCTGCTTCATCATATTATGAAGCAATATATAGGTACAATGTCTTAAGATTGCATAACACCTCAAGTCGCTGTGAGAAAAAGAAAGATTCAACCAATTGCAGAAATCTCAAGTTCAATTGAGCTCATGGATGCCATTTTTACCATTTAGGTACCATAATTTCATATTGTTGGAATTAACAAATCAATGATGTCAATATTCTGCAAAAAAAAAAAAGTCCCTGAACCAAAATAGAGAACATCCTTAGAAGTATTTTCAATTTCTTAAAAAGAATTGCACAACAGAGTACATCATCAAAGATAACCTAGATGAGTTTCTTCTTCCGAAAATAACTCTTCAGGTGCCACGACTGCAAGATGGAGACTATTATGCAAACACCAAGGGACAGAATACTAAACAATGCAACCCTTGCATTGGTCCTCTCGCTCACTTCCCTCATCAGTGCTTCCCTGAAAGCAGAAGAACATAATTGAAAATTAACCTGTGGTCAGATTGAAGGTTATCACACGGTTGCATGGTGTCTTTTAACAACAAACCACCTCCTTTTGAACTACCTGGACTTGAGATAAAGCAGGTTCACATGAATTGCTTGCACTTCTGCTTCTAGTTTTGTCAGCTCCAGCTCTACGCCCTAAAGTTAGAGAACTCATATCGTAATTGTCACAAGTGGAATGCATCTAATATTGGAACTGGACATCCTACGTTAGGAAGGATGAGGCTGTTTTAAGTTGTCAATGCTCACCTCAATCTTATCCTTTTTGGCAACCGAATCCCAGTCCTTTGCTGCAATTCCTATCTTCCAGTCAAGGCTAACACTTAAACCTACATCACTGTTGCCACTATCTATCCAGAAACATGCCACGTAGCCGCCAGCCTCAGTAGTTGTGAATGCAAATTGACCTGCTGAAACATGCTCTTGGTTGTGAAGTGTGTTCCCATATGGAGATGTAACCTGCAAATACATAACATACAATCAATATCGCAATAATCAATCCTAGAAATTCCATATATGCCTCCCTTAATCTCAAACATCCTGTTTATGTAATTTAGGTACATCAATGGGGGTTGATGAGTTCAGACCTGCAAAAGAGGTGGGATCTAGTGATGTTATTGGTCCTAGTAAAAAGAATACTAAGACATCATTTTTCATGAGTTTGAATACCACTTAACTTCTTGTGACCGAAGATAGGAGCCTAATCTTTTATTCATTTCTTTCATGTCACCTTCTTTACTATATCACGACATAAGTGGGAGTCACAGCTAAACTCAGCCCCAACTCATGTCACCTTCTTCTGGTCAAATCAAGCTTTAACCACATTAAACTCTGAGGTGCAGGTGTCTCACTAGTCGCAGATAAGATGAAGATACATTTGATACTTGACAAGCCATTGGAATGCTCAGAAAATGAGAAAATTAACTGATAGCCTGAGGTCACACAACAAGATTCCAGAAGGCTAAAATTTTCAGTTTGTTGTAGATTCTTTCATGGGATTGTATGGGGTTCATCGGGTTTCCTAGACTTATAAGAAAAGCAGGGGAAGATAGAAAAGTCAATAAAGGAGATAATAGGGTCATCAGTTGATGATCAAATGAAGAAAGGAACATTATCATGATCCATTAATGGCTCGATGTCATCTCTGGATACATTCTTTGGTGGCACAAGATGATCAATGCTCTTGCTTGTTGAATTCCTTAGAAATTGTGGCATGGCGGTAGGATTGTGGTGATTTTGATCTTGCTTCCCCATCACTGAATGATTCTTTCTACACAGATCTTGCCACTTTTCATGTATATTCAAGTTTAGGCGTGCTCATTGATAATTAAACCCTAAAAAGGGACACCTCTGCCATCCGTATGAACGGAGGAATTCACTGGCAAACATGGGTTGAATGCTTTTCTTGCTCTTTTGATCTAATTCAAAGCATCATTCAGCACTTTTACCATCTGCAAGTGCTCTGAAAGGATTGCTGCTACAAAAATCTTTCTCCTTATGCCCAAGCATCAATACATAGCATAAGAACAACATTTCCTTCTACTGGAAACTTGCCAAACTTTACCCCCCTCAATCATAAGCAGATATGCAATTCCACCCATCCATTCCATAATTACCAATGGCTTGCAGCTTTAACAGATCAACAAAATAATAAAAGAGGCAAAAAATCTTGACGCGAACATGAGATCGAAGGATTAAACTTCATCGATCGATCATGTTTCCGATCAAGAACCAAAAGTAAGGGCGGGTCACAGAGATTAAGAAAAGATCTAAAATTTAAGGGTCTGGGGGCGAGCGTAGGCGCACCTTTGCGGCGATGGTTTGGCGGGCGATGTCGTCGCCGTCGGAGGCGACGGCGTAGTTAGCGAGCACCACCACGTTGGGTTGTATCTCCTCCGACACGCACTTGGTGCCCGAGGCGGGCAGGTTCAGCCACACAGCGGCGGCCCCCGGCGCCAACAGCAGAGGCCACAGGAGAAGCGGCACCACGGCGAGCCGCAGGATCACCACCCCGCCCCCACTCATCTCGACGATTCCCCACTTCGGGACGTCTCTAAGTCTTCACAAGTCGCACCCTTGTCTTTCTCCTGCCTTCGAACCCAAAAAATGGGCTATAAACAGCCTGTTAATTGTTAATAGGTCTCTCTCTCTCTCTCTCTCTCTCTCTCTCTCTCTCTCTCTCTATATATATATATATATATATATATATATATATATAGTGTATGTATGCTGATTGTATGATGCATGCACATGATTACTAATTATATGACAATTCCATTTATATTCCTAATAAGATGGTAATTTTGATTAGTTGACTATTATGAAATTGATTTTTCACGACCAACATTAATATTCTTTTACAAAATAATGCACATGCATATTCTCCCTATATAAATTTTTTTGAGATTTCTAACAAATAAAAACAACACGCTGGCGTGAATTATGATCATCAATTCAACACGATAGAATTAACTCAAGAAATTCGTTTGAAGTGAAGTGTGATCGAAAAGATTGATTTTCGAAAACCTAACAAGCGATGAAACTCATCTAATAATGATCCAAACTCAAAAGTCTTCCATATTCAAGAGAAATTTGATTATTCAATCTTTGACGAATGATTCTTTCAAAAAAAAAATTATGAATATGTTCAAGAAGACCTTCAATACTTAAGTTAATAAATCAAACGAAAAATATTTAAGATATTTGAATAAGTTTCGAGAGTTTAAAATTATAATGCACTCAAAAAAATCATTTTCATAGCACTCATGGTGATATAACCATCATGAATTAAAGAAGTCAAATAATGTATGAAAAAATATTCTCGTTAGAAATTATGGTGATATAACACACATAATTGGCACATCATTATTTTTGAACTGGTTGGGTTACACATGTTAGGTCATAAACAACAATATATAATCTCATCTTAGGCACTTGAAGAATGTTGTATGCAGTAAAAATGATCAAAGATACATTCATATCTGATGGGTGTATCAAACGTAGGGGATGCCTAATTTGGTTAAGACATTTTCTCTGGTTAAGATATATTGAACATTTGAAATACTAATGCATTGGACACATATATGGCATCATTTCTCGCTTAGCAAAGAAGAAATATCATATGTTTTAATTCTTATGTCCTTGGCAGATACATCATATGTGGTGATATCTTTTCGATTAGGATGCATCAAATATACAGTGAATGTTTAGGTGCATAGATCATATGTGGCTTATTGTTTATGTCTTCGATGGACATTTCTCATGTAGGAGGAAGATATTTTGTCCGAATAAGACATATTAAACATTTTGATATTTATGTTTTGAATGGATGCATCATGCATGCATAGGAGTAATCTTATACAATTAGAACACATAAAATATTTTGATATGTATATCTTCGATGGATACATCATATGTAGTAGTATGTTATGTTTCAGACCCATCAAAATATTTATAGACGACGAGATTAATTACCGCACTGCTAATCACTGTCCAAGAATCAAACCATTTGCTAAAGAAATTTGAGAGACTTCATATCTCAAGAATTTGGTGGAGCCCCCACCTCACTAACTTTGTAGATTAAGTCCATCTCTATCTAATGCTGAATGAATCAACCATGAGGTATTCTTTGGCATCACGTAACTCTCGAGTAATATATATGACACACCCCATCTTCTCCAAACAAGTCACATTGGATTGGCCATCCGGTGACATGAGACATGGCAAAAGATGACCAGACATGATGAACACATAGCAAAGATATAGGGATCTTATCTATTCAAGTGAACTTTATAGATACATTTGACCTATCATATTTTAATGACATTGTGAATAATCAGTGACAGACAATACATAGAAACAAACACATTATTTCCTGTAAACAAAGAGTTCAAAGATACAATGTAAAGAAACTTTTCACAGCAGACACGATCACTAGTTTTATGTTGCAGAAGCAGAAGAAGAAGAAGAAGAAGAAGAAGAAGAAGATAAGATGGAAATGGGCCGATGATATGCAAGCTTGGAAGTTAGACCAGTAATTATCTTTGCAAGACTAATCAACCTTCCTATAAGAACTACAAACCTCTGACCGAAGCATCCAAGTCAATCGAAGAGTTTAGGTGGGGAAGCACCACTTCAATGTTAAGCTGCACCTGATGAGATACAGATCTAAGTAAAGATCAAAATTGTCACGAATCATATTGTTTAAGATACACGTTTAGTCTTTCATTGATATCATCATTATCTTTGGTCAATTGTCACTCTACACGTAAAGTGCAATATTTCTTCGATAATTTTTTTTTATTTCAAATAGGATCTGAAGTTCGAAATCTTTTTCATCTATCTCAGTGATTCAAATGTCACAATAATCGTACCGAATATATTCTCATTTTGTATGTAACCTATCTTGAGGGAATTGTTTAAAGAGATGTCAAACCTACTCATAGTAACACTAATAATCACAGTATTTGTTCTCTCACTTTCGATATGAAATTATTTAAGACACCATGAATACTTGATGATATGGTGCCCTATAAAAATATTAGAGTCTAAGTACATAGGCTAAAAAAGTTATAATGGATAGCAGTATCTCAATGCAAGCATATTACTTGTCAATTGCACACACTTTAATACATAGCATAGCATAGCATGTAATCTCCTCATGTCCATTTGATGTCATATTAAACTAAGTTTAGTACATAGTGACCAATCTGAGTCAGAATTGCACCATGCACGATCGAGTTAATATTTCAAATAAAGCATGCAATTGCAACACCTGTTTGTAGTGCCAAATTGATTTTGTACCTTTCTTCGAATAGATGCATGCTTATCATTTTCAAAAGCACTTCCATTGAAATCATCCAACTTCCATATCTGAGTTGATCTTATGGGTTTAATTGACCAAAAGTGAGCAGCCTTATCATAACCAGTCCCCATTAGGAGGACCTTGTAAACAATGGTTTATCCATTTGCTTTATCCTTCTTGTAAATTGATCATAATCTAGTTGATATGATTAATCCTATATATATATATATATATATAGAAGAATAGGAGTTGTAGGAGGAGGATTAGGTTAGTGATATGGTCAATTTCAATCATCACCACCTCATGTGATGAAGATGATACAATACGACTTGTTTTATGATTGTGTTTTGAAGACGAAAAGAAGTTTATACGATACGAGAGTCACGATTCAAAAAAATTTCTTGAGAATAGAAAATACTCATATTAGATTATCAAAGTCAATTTTGTTTTTTTTTTTGAAACAAAAGAGATTCGAAGAAATTCTAACATTTCAATCAGCTTAAAATGAAAATATATAGTGCTTTAATGAAAAAATAATTTCTTTACATATCATCCAAGACTTTATGTATCGAGTCTCGATTAACCAAAAATAATTATCATATCAATCCGATCCATTGCACCTTCTACCAAAAATTTAAACTCTTAGGAAATTGGTAAATATGATAATTTGGTGAAAATAATGACAAATTTTATATTATATACAGTTGTAAAAGGTGAGGGAACGCAGAGGAGAGGAGGAGGAGCTCAGTGGGAAAAGACGTGGCCTCACATATTGGAACGTCCAACACTATCACCTCTCCTTCCTCGGCCCTCCCTCCTATAAAGCTATAAAGCTTTGCCCTCCATGGTTAAGCCTTCTTAACATTTCCTACTCTTGAGAGCTCTCCTCCTCCTTTGTCAAGAGCTAGCAAACCACGAGAAGGGATGCAAGAGAAGGAGGAGAAGAAGAGAAGGAAGGTGAGGAAGGGATGGCTGACTGTGACAGTAGGGACGGAAGTCGAAGCAGGTGGATTCCGGCGGTTTCTCATCCCCATCTCTTACCTCTACCATCCCCTCTTCACCGGGCTTCTCGACTCGGCTCGCGACACTTATGGCTTCCCCTCCTCGGGACCCCTCGCGCTGCCGTGCTCCGTCGACGACTTCCTCCATCTCCGGTGGCTCATCGAGACAGAGACGCAGCCCTCCGTTTCAGCTCTTACCGGCAGAATGAGAGACAGACTGATTGGCTGTCTCTCACTCTCTCATGGTCTTTGTTTGTAACCACACATAGCAAACATAGTTAAAATTCTTTCTTTTTTTTTGTTGATTTTATATTAGGAGTAAGATTTTCTTTTTCTTTTTACTTTCACAGTTAATGAATTCATAATATTATATTGGTGTTTGATTGTTCCAATTTTGATCTATATAATAATTCTATGAAATAAATATTTGTTATTATTTATTGATGACATTATAAGTTAAACACATTCAAATTCTAATTTTTCCTCATGCATAATTCAAAACAGCATTGCATTTTTGCTAAAACAAAAGTAGTAAATAACATATAATAGCAATAATAAGTTTGTAATGTCTCAATTATATATTTTCTACCTCTCATTATACCACTAATAATAATTATTCTTCCTTCTATCTCGCATTAAATGATTCCTCCTTATTTTATTATGTATGTAATTTACACCTAATTATTCATAAAAAAATGATAAGTAGTTTAATTGGTAAAGATTTGATCAAAATCACTATAAATTATTATGAAATAAGATCCATCTTCACTACTTACCCTTCGTCCAAAAAATTATTCGCGAACGAAAAAAAACAAATAATACATTTCATTGATTTATGGAAAGAAAATTGTTTCTTTCATGGATATAATTTGTCACCATCTGAAAGCATAGCCCAAGCAATCACATCTGATCAATGTAGAATGTCAACTTGAAGTATGAGATCGACATGAAATGGTGGCAATCTTTGCTTGCAAAAAGCAAGGGGGTGGCAACACCTTTTTCCCACATCTCACTTTCATTACCATTGCCACGAAAGGCACATTTAACTGAGACAGAGATGCTTAAGCAGTGTAAAGAACAACTTTCCTTTTGATCTGTGGGAATAACTAAAGCGAATTGATCCAAATCAGAGGATAAGTTTGAGAGCTATCAAACAGAATAAAATCGAGAGTAGTGTGATATGCAGGAAAAGTGAAATGAAGTGACAATTTATATTGAGATTTGAACTCAGTGCAAAAAGAAATTTAGATTGTCTAAGAATATTTTGGTTAATGTTTTTATGACAATTGGAGGAATCTGAGTGTTTGCTATGCAAATGAAGATGCATCAAATATCTTACATAAATCAAAGTAGAAAATTGAAGTAGCAAATTATCACTATTTAAATCTCGATCTCCATAGAAATTATGTTATGCTTTCATTAACAATACCATAAGTTCCAATATTTTTGGGTGGAATAAACTCATAGGTTGAACATTAAATTATGTTGGGACTAAATTAATCTTATAATCTTTTAAACGATTATAAACTAATTGTTCCAAATTAGTCTTATAATCTTTTGAACGATGGTTAATATCATTTTTATCTCACTCTTAAGGGTATTAAACTTTGTCATAGTCAATATCTTTTTCGACGCTAAGGTACAATTCACTTATTTGTATATATCCTTCATATTATAGCGTGATTTACTTAATCTTTTTTTTATTCATTCAGATCAAATTTTGTCCATCTGATACCATCTTAGAAATCCATTAACAATAAATTTAAGTCAATTTGGTAAAGATTGTCATATATCAAATCAATATGGTATTATCATCTTAGCTTTTTTTTATCTCACATAAATATTTTTTTTTAAATATTGTATGAAATTTTTTTAAGAGTAAGTGATGAAAAGTCTTTACTAATTAAATTAATTGATATCTTTTAAAATATATTAAATGAAATGAAGATGAATCATAATACTGCTCAAATGATCTTAATCCAACCACAAGTAATAAGGTAGAAATGGGCCTGTAATAAGATCTGAAAGATAATTTACTTCCTTAGCATTCCCTAAGCAAGTGTACCTTCAAGAAGAAACCATTAAACAAAAGACAACAAGACTTCATTTGGAATGCGAAGGTTTCGTGTTGTAGCCTATCAACTGGCAGCTGTTGGACAATCCAATCTACTACTCAGAAAAAATATAGTATAGAGTACACTGTTGGCTTCTTTTATAATGTTATGACTTCAAGAAGAAACTCCATATAGTATAATTTTATGGCTCCAAGGAGCAACTCCCAACAATACTTTGTGTACTCTACATGTTGTAGGTCGCCCTGGAGATTCATATAGTACTCTTCTGGTTGAGTTTAATGGTGGTGAGAGGCAATGGGAAGAGAATGGAGGTGGTCTTCTTGGTCACCATCTCCAGGCTGATCTCAGAAGCAATCTGTCTTGGGATTACACCACAGTATCGCCGAGGAGATACCAAATTATTCTACTAAAAATCTCATTTCAGTGCCTCCTAGAGACAGCTGAGCTACTGTTCTTGAATCTTGCAAGAGTTGACCACAGTTGGAGTTGGTGAACCTCTGGTCTGTAAGGTATTTTATCCACTAAAAATAATATCATTGAAGTTATATTTATATTGCATGGTTTTAGATAATGTATATTTCTTTTTTTTCTTATTGTTATGAGAGAAATTAAAGATGTCAAGATCTATCTATTTAGTCAACCTACTTTATTTTAGGGCTCTTGTAATATGCAAGTTCTAGAAAAGAGTGGAGCAATATAATTTATATTTAAGATATAAAAGAGTGGAGCATTTTGTCCATTACAATACATGGTCTAAATTTATGTCACCAAGTGAGGGGATAATTAATGCCTGGTTTTATAGTCAATATAAAGAGTCATAATTGCTTCGGATCTGCATTATGCTCTGCCATGCACCAAATCGAAGTGGCACAGAGTGCATGTCATGAGATCATGGTGATAGATTCTCATGGTGGGCTACTGAAGCCATGGTTTGTCTTCGCTTGAGGTGATGACAAGGGCTTCAGTCCTCAAAATTCCTTGGCGTTGACCGTAGCTCGCACCAAAGCCGGAGAGGCTTAAAAGATGTTTCCGCTTGACTCAGGCTGTGCATCGATCCTTGTCAGTTGGATCCACCATTGTTTAGCTGCATAGAAAGTTAGGCAGCGTGTGAGAGAGACTTTCTAGCTTCCTTCTTCTAACCCTGCGATACGCTGTGAACATTGACTCGGTTGCCTCGGTAGCATCAGTTGGAGAAAGAGAGGGTGCCGTGCGGCATCAACTACAAGAGGATAATGTCGTCGAAGAGGGAGAGGATAATGCACATCGATCTCGCCTTGGAGACTGCAGATGATGAGGTTAGAGCACTAGAAGAAGCTGAAGATGGTGGTGATCGAGAAGAAGAGGAGGAAGAAAAAGAAGAAGGTGAAGTAGCCATTTCCAATGAAGACAAGGAAGCAAATAAACATCAAGAGGAGAACCAAACGGAGGAAAAGGAACAAAGTTATGAGAAGACCACGGCAGAAGATGTGATCAAAGATGAGGTTGTAACTCCTACTTTTTGTTTGTGTTCATCCTTTTTGTTGCGAGTGTCAGGATTTTGACTTGCGAAGATGTTGCAGTTGTGCGTGTTACAAGCCGAGATGGAACGCATGAAAGAAGAGAACAGGATGCTTGAAGAGGCCATCGATCGCACCATGAAGGATTATTATGATCTACAGATAAAATTTGCAGACATCCAGCAAGAGGACCAACCAAAAGTAATCTTTCTGTCACCAAAGTCTTCTTCCGTTCATCTAAAAATGGATGATTCAACCCTTCTGTGATCTGATACACTCAGGAGCATCAGGTTTTCCTTTCGCTTGGAAGACAGAGCTCTGGTGAGATCAAGCAGGCTAAGGTAGCTGATCGAGGCAGTGGCTTGGCAGATGACGAGGAGCTGTGCTTGTCTTTGAGTCTCCATACCCATGTTGATCCACATCAAAGAGACGACGCAAGAGAGGAGAAAGGGAAGGGTCTGAAAAGCTGGGCCGCCGGCGAATTGACCACCATCACAAGTCAAAGCATCAATCCAGCCACCAGAAAAACTAGGGTTTCGGTCAGAGCAAGATGCCAAGGGCCTCCCGTAAGTCCCATTTGACAGCCGAGGCTTTTGCATGACATGCACTCATTTATGCTCATGCACTCGTGGTAATTCCTATAGATGAATGATGGATGCCAATGGAGGAAGTATGGGCAGAAGGTGGCGAAGGGGAATCCATGCCCCAGAGCTTACTATCGATGCACCGTCGCGCCGGGATGCCCGGTGAGGAAGCAGGTAGCAGAACTAAATCCAGTCTTAATGCTGATTACCTCAGAGAAGATGATGAGGATTTCCACAACCTCACAGTGGTAGCTCACTTTACTTTGTATCGAGCAGGTGCAGCGATGCCTGGAGGACATGTCGATACTTGTGACCACCTACGAAGGGACACACAACCATCCCCTACCGGTCGGCGCGACTGCCATGGCTTCCACAACAGCAGCATCAGCTAATTCCTTATCTTCCTCGCCATTATCGTACCTGAACCCTTACCTGGCAAACCCTTCTCCACAGCTATCAACCATGCGCAGCTTCACAAGCTCTGCCGGCTACTCCGGCATCTTTGGTGGGAGGCAACAACTTGATATCTTAGGACCCCATCATCAAGCAACCAGCAGTGCTGCTGGTGGAGGTTCTTGGATATCCACTGGTCATGGAGTCTGGAATGGTGAGGATGAGAAGTCATTAGCAGAACAAGTTGGTGTCATTGCTTCGACCCAGAGATGACCTTTGGAGTTGCAGAAGCCATTAGCTCATTCATCAACGAGTACAAGTAGTAGCAACAAGGAGTTGGCATTGTTATGGTCAGTGATTTTAGCTTAATCTTATGGGCAAGAGGCATAAATGATTGCCTTGTCAATAGGTTCTGCAGTGTTTGTTCACTGCTGATGAAACTTTTCTCCCTTTAGTTTTGCTTTGTTTTGTCATGATTTGCTTGTGATAACAAAACAATGAAACACACTTAGAAGATCTTCATTGTGAAAGGACAGTTCGAGTCACATCAATGAATGATTAAAAGCTTTTATTGAGAACAATCAGTAACTTTTTACCTCAAATTAAAAAAACAAATAACAATGAATAAGAAAAAAAATATTAGAATTAAACTTGTTAATTCTGATATTATGAATAATATTATATCAAGAAGTAAAATATATTAAAAGTTCTATAAAAGAATAGATCAAATTGATTATTGATTTTTGAAAGAAGAAAATATATTTATATTAAATATAATTAATAGAATGTATATATAGGGATTATATAAACCTCATCTATTAGATTATGAAAGGATTCATATGTATAGAGTTTTGAAGTTGCAGTGAGTTTTCTTTATTGAAACAAAAAAATATTTTACCATGTACTTATTCTTCCTTATGTAATAGATTTCCAACCTTATGTAATAGATTTCCAAAAAGGTGAATTGATAATGTTATATTAGAAAAAGTAGGAAGCTTGCGAAATCAAGAGTCGATTATTTAAAATTTTTTTTAAGTATTACATTTGTCAAGATACCAAAAGAAAAGATAACAAAGCTTAAGAATAAGGGTTAAAAATGAATCATGTTATGTTAAGAATAGTAGCTACAAACTCTGCAATTCTATCACAAATAAAGTTATAATATCAAAATATATTAAATTCGATGAATAACAGATTTGGAACTGAAAAAGGTGATGATCAAAAGCTATAATTTCATAAGAGAATGATATAATACAAATAAGCACAAAAGAGTATTTGCCTCAATCAGCACATAGATCGATTAGGTCATATAATTTAAGAAGTCCAGTTCTAAAAAGGACAAGAACAATTCAGGAGTTATATTATGTGACTCAAAAGATTAATACTAATAATGATAGCTTATTTTATTTTATTTTTTTTAGGATATGATCCATTAACATTTGAAGAAAGAAAAAATGATATATAAAAGCTCATTATATTTTAAGAAGACCACCACGTGATCGATATTAAATGAATCTTCAAAATATAAAAAATTCACAAGAGGAGATGGAGAAATTCATGTCCTAATTGGTTATAAAGGGATACAAATAATAGTATAAGATTGATTATAAAGAAATATTTGCCCTAATAACTTAATTAGAGACAATAAGATTACTTATTTATCTAGTAGCTTAAATAAAATTTAAAAAATTATAAATGATTATCAAATCAGTATTTCCTAATAGATTTCTTAAACAAAAGATGTTAACAACCCCTTGATTTTATTATCCATGAAAAAAAAATAAGGTATATAAATTTAAAAAAGCTTTTTATGAGCTTAAATAAGCCTCAAGATCATAGAATTCTCACATAGATGTTTATTTTAGTTAAAATAATTTTTCTAAATATCCAAATATGTTCTCTATATAAAATTTAATTCTAATGGAGATATCATATTTGTATGCATGTATATAGATTTGATTTTTACAAGTAATAATCTCTCCATAATTAAAGATTTTAAATGAAAGAATTTAAGAAGATTGACTTGGGCCTAATGAATTATTTTCTTGGTATCGAAGTTATATAAGATAATGAAAAAAATTTCATCTCAAAAAAATATTATGCAAAAAAAATTTAAAATAAATTCTTTATAGAAGATTATCACCCTACTAATATATCTGTAGAATATGACATTAAGTTGACGAAGGAAGGTGAGGTACATCAATTAATTAAATTTATTGTAAATGTCTAATTGAATGTTTAAGATATTTAACATGCACTCTATGTTATTTGAAGTTGGTTTAATAAGTAGATATATGGAAGTTCTTAAGATGTCTCATTTAAATATTTCCAAAAATATTTTATGATATATTAAAGAGACAATTGACTATGGTATAGTATATTCATCATCTTAAAATTTGATACTCATTGAATATAGTGACAGTGATCAGATGGAAAACTACAACAGTACAATCATATTTGTATTTTATCTTGATAGAATTACATTCCTATGATCTTTAAAAAAAAAAAACATATTATTGCTCTAGAAAGTTGTAAAACAAAATATATATAGTAATATCTTCTTTTGTGTTTGTCATGTAACATGACAACTCCAAAAATTATCATAGAAGAAGTCAATATAGATATATGTTGATAAGTCAAGTATAACCTTAGCTAAGAATCTAGTTTAGGATTGAAGCATATTGATATAAAATTATATTTAATAAGAAATTATATCAAAAATAAAGAAGCAGAATTACTTCATGTCAAGACAAGTGAATAAGTAGCTAATATACTTACCAAGCCTCTCGAATTTAAAGTATTTTAATAATTGTGAAAGAAGTTTGACATTTTAGATAGAATAAGTTTAAAGAGAGAGAATGTTAGAATTAAACTTGTCTAAGAAGTGAAACATATTAAAAGCCCTATAGAAGATTAAACTAAATTGATTATTTGTTCTTAAAGAAGAAAAGAGATTTTGGAGAAAAAAATTTATATTAAATATAATTAATATAATATATCCAGGGAAACTATGTATAACCATGTGTTTTGACACTGTAGTAAGTGTCATGAAACAAAGAATACTTTGTCTTGTCCTTATTCTTTCTTATGTAGTAGCTCTTATTCTTCTCCCTGTCTATTTCAAGAATGAATGATAGCTCTAATCTATCATGCATGATTGGGTTGTGAAGTATTTTTAAATTGTTGAAACCAATGTTTATTAGACAAAAATCTTAATACGAAAAATGCTTCTTTATGAAGGAAAAAAAAAATAAAAATCAAGATATGAAAAAAATACTTTGAATTATCTGTATTTCTTTCTAATGAATCCAAATAAAATGAAAGAAAATATTATGAAAATATTTTAAAATTTATGTTAGAGTATACATAATAGGATTTATGTTTTGATTCAAGATTAACTAAAAGATGTTTATAATTGATCTCATATAATAAAAATTTTAGTTTTTTTATGAACATAAAAAAGTTATATCTTATTATATAAATCCTTTATCGATTTTTTGATATACTCTATTATTATTGATCTATAATATTTTTCTCTAGGTTTTGAGATCCTCACTCCCCCAACATAATGATGTTGATGATATTGGTTTTTTTTTTTGTTCTTGAGATTGGTCCTTCTTCACTATTTATATGATAGGAAGTAGGAAGTCAAAGAAAGTTGGAGAAAACACCATTTGAAATCATTTTGAAAATACAATTATATACTCAAGTAATCAACCTGAGTTTTGATACCGTAAATATTATAAAATATTTATCAACTAAGTTACAAATATTTGTTATATAAGATTTTTTTTTTTTTTCAGAACATATTGTGGAAGAAGGAACTTTCCTAAGATACTCTTTGGAGAGATTCAAAACATTTTTGCATATCTTCTACCATACTATCCATAATTGCTAGTGCAATGTGATTATTCAGCAAAATTCAAGCCTCACACTGACCTGATAAAAACCAACATTCTTTATCAGAGATCAAATCAGTGGAACAATACTTGTTCGAATTTGTAATCATAATAAACATCAGTTCATCAAGTTCTCTGACACTACACATCACCAAATTGAAACCATGTTCTTTTGCCATCGAATCAATAAATCAAGTCAGCCTTACTGGTTTCAGAATCTGCTTCCAGAACTGTCATCGAATCATACATCAGTAAATAAGATCACTGTTGCTTACATGTTACATCAAATCTAATAAATACGTTCGGTTGCATCACAAGCCAAATGTGCTTCCAGAATAAGCCTGATTCATGTGTCCGTGGTCACATTACACTATTAATGATTCCAGCAGTCATGCGATCTTTGGACAGCGGAAGAAATCTGCAGATGCAAATAGTAGGAACAAATCAATTGCATAGTACGAACAAATCAGATTGAAGCATTTTGTCAACACTTCTGGCATATTTGGTTTTGTCCTCGTAAGGCTGGATTGTTCAACACTTCAAGATGTTGTCCCGTGAAGGTGAGTGACTCTTGAATATCTTCAGTTAAGAGCTCAACAAAAGGTACAAGTCTCCCATATGTTGTTTGAATTTTGATGACACATTTAATGATAACCTAATCCATTAATTTCACATCAGGTACCAGTACTGTTAGTAGTTAGTATATGAGCTGCCATCCATCCATCCATCCCTAAGGAACAATTGTTTATATGCATCATCGTGAATCTTCATCCACCGAAGATTTTGATCCTCGATTTGATTAGTCCTGCATCCAATGTGGACGTTAGCTTGGGTTCATAATCACATTCCAAGAACATAGTTTGAAAATATGTTTAGTATCAGGAAACTTTTCATAGGGAAAAAATTTAATGAAGCTTTAAGTTTAGCATTTGATAAGTTCAAAATTTAAAATGTTTTACACTTGCAAACTAACCTCTCAAATCTTCATATATGCACACACATCTTAGAAATGCTGGATGTAAATTCATATTAGTCCTTACAGTAAGTCTATTCCTCACTTCCATATGTTCTCTCTCAACCAATATGAGTGAGTTTAGAAATATGTTTACATTTTTAATACGTATTTGAAAAAATAAATATGAATGAATGTGCAATTGTGAGATGCCTTGAATGTTTGGTAAACAATAAATGAAAATTACCTCTTAAATGTGCATGATGTAAGTGTTGTTTAGTAAAATTATATTTCAAAAGTCCATTAAATATCATGTGACAAATTTACCCTTATAGCATTTTTAATATATATTCAAAAGTGAATACATATTTTTATTTAAATAAATAAATAAAATGAATGTAAGAAATATTATAAAAATTCATATGATCCAGATATATAATAAATAAATAAATATAATCATATAAATAAATATAAAATAATCTTTAAAAATAAATTAATAAAATTTTACCACATAAAAGACATAAATCATGTTGGTTTCTCACTAAATTATGTCATGACATTAAGATACAAGTGCCCAGCGACTCAACGAAGCAAGCGGCGCGACGGACTTGTGAGAGAAAGA